GAACGTTGCTAATCCTTTGTTGCTCTAAATATGACATTTAAAGGCCAGTAAAAAGCTCTTCTTTGCCAATCAAAAGAAAAATATTATCTTCCCCATGACCTTGGCTGCTAAATTTCAGCCCAGCTCACAGCATCTCTGTCTTGGAGCCGAAAGATAGGCTACAGGGCCATTACAGAAGCTGAAAGGTGAGTGTTCTTGGTTTATCCCTGTAGAGTGCTGGCTTTGCACTAAGCGTGACTACCAGCTTATTTGGTGGCCGGCACTGGGATAGGTCATGTCTGGGGGCTGCAGGAACCAGAAGATGCTCCTAGTGGGCAGCATTATTTCCACAGCAGCGAGTTTCAGGAGGGATAGCAGGGGCAAAAGGTACAAACAATGTGGTCAGCAGTGTTTGATTGTTTAATGAACAGGATTTCATGAGACGATCGTCTACGATTTAAGGAAACTGGATTTCGTGGCCCCAAAAGTCTCTTCTGGCCTGATATCACCCAGACGCTAATTGGTTCTATTTTAATAAAGACTTTTACTGTGAACTTCAGCTACTGAAACAGCCACGTGGCTTTTACCAATCCTGTACTGTGACTTGTAAAAACAGAAGAAAATAAAAAAGATGTTAAAAATACTAGCCAAAATCTAAAGTTGGAACAGAACTGGCTTTTATTTTGGTTTCAGTGAAAAGCGAGTTCACTAGATACAGTAGTATTTCTTTGAATGGAACAAATAAACCTCAAAGATTTCATAATGCATGTTCTTTCTACACATTTCTACAAAGCAGTCTATAAAGCCGGGAATGAGAGATGTCATTCTTAAACACATACCACAGGACACTTCTCACAACTCCAATAACAAGGTATCATTTTCTATTCGATCCTATTTGGCTTTTCCATAAGGAACTGTAAAAAACTCTCTCAGAATCCTGGCAACAGCATATGCAGTAGGAATCCTAACGCTGACTCTGCTGGAGCAGAATCTCCCCCTTCAAGAATAAAGCCTTGGGAGGAAAAAAGTAGTGTGTCTGTTTTGTTGCTGAGCCAGCTATTTAACTCCACCAGTTAGCAGAAACAAAGGGAAACCAAACAAAACTATAAAGCGCATGTTCCTTTTGGACAAATAACCTGAAACTCTTTGAAATTTATAGTTCTACACCATCCCTACCTGATAAGTCATATAGATAGCTGTGGCTGCAGGTATTAGCGATCATGTAAATAAATTTTATTATGCTGTACAATACTAGCATGGTTAGACACACTAATAATGGGAGAAGGGGAGTTAGCTATTTTTTTCCTGTCCCATATGGTAATAATTTTGTATGATTGAAACTGTTATGAGCTAAATAAAACTACACTTTAACTGTAAGATACATTGCAAATACATTATATTTCCCCTGGAGTTTTAGCAAATACTCGCTTTTTCTATGATGCATTTGAAATTAGCAAAGGAATCTACACTGGGCCATAGGATTTATAAATAGATTTGGCTTCCTCTGCAATACTTTACGGGTAATTATTTCAGAAATGAAGATGCAGAGCCACAAATAAATAAAATAATTGCAGCTGATCAGGCTTTATTTACCGCTATCATATTTCTCTGACTGTTAAGCTTTTCTCCTCTCATTTGTTCCACTAGCCTGAATCAATGACCAGATGAAGAGCTGTCAGTTAATGTCAAACACTGAGCACAAAAGGGGCCAAAGGCAGATTCTGGTTTCCCCATTTCCAAATCCTGCTGACCCCTTTCTGGAGCTGGCTTGCTCTCTGGATAAATTCAACATGGAATTGGGAGGCTGGGAAAGGGCACCGCAAGTGAGATGAGTTCTGCAGGGTTTCAAGCAATTTGCCAGGTCATTTTGCTGTGACCCCTCTAAAGAAGTCATGGCCAAAAGTCCGGAGATCGCTTCCAGTAGCAGATTCCTGGCTGTGTCAGGGAAGGGCTTGCATGGTTCCCCCTACCCGCTGCAATCCTGTTCAAACAGGTATTAATTCAGTTTGGAAAATGCTGAGTACAGGTGTGTATAGCAAAAACAGCTTTCCAGGTAGTTAAAATGAACTAAACCCAGGTAAAGACTGGTCTCACACCTGCATATAAATCTCTGTGTACCTCACACCATTCAGCTTTCAGTACTTCAAATACCAGACAGCGTGGGAAACCCAGGATTATCAACGTCCCTTGGGATCAGGCCTGAAATCCTACTGATGCCGACTATATTCTCTAAAAAACTGTGGCTCAGTTCAGTTTAACATAGAGATGCAACCCATATTGCCTCCTCCAGCACTGAAGAGATGAACTGGGGCCCCAGTTTTCTTCTGCAGCTGGGCACACGGCACTATTGTGTTTGTGTTACCCAGGATTCATAGAGAAGGTTACTTCCATGAGGAAGCTTATCAGGTCAGAAGAATAAAAAGCATCATTTCTGCTGCTTTGAAAAGCCATGAAGCTGATAACACAGTAACAACTGAAACACATGGGATGAACCACATGGAGATGTCCTGTCTATCCACCAAAGGCTTCCTTAAATGTCCTGATCTCAGACGTAGTCACCAGGGTGACATTTTATGGTCCTCAAATTATTTAGAAAAAAACATCCTTTACACCAGCAGTCCTGATGATCAGAGATGTCTGACCCTGGTCTGCAAGGTCCCTACAGCCTCCTGACCTGGGAAGGAGCTTTGTGAAGCCTGGGTCAGAAGGGCTTCAGAAAAGAGGGAGCACTAGAAACAACTTGGAAGGTGTCTAGGGACTGAAAAATGTCCTACAAGAAGAAGTCTCATAGCTTTAAAAAAACTTTGGTGTTTTTTTTTTTAGTTCCAGGCTGCTTATTTTTATATAAAGAAATGATGCTGCAAACCTCTCCAAGAGCTTCATCAACAACAGTCCACAAGCTGGTGAAAGAGGCCAATGGGACCAGATGCCAAAGGAGCTAGGAAGATTTACACTAGCCGAGCATCTGGCTCCCTGTTCACTGTTCTCAGAATGAAGACAGATGCTTGCAAACATCCTTATTCAAAATCACTACTGTGTTCAGCGATGCTCAGCACAAACGCAGTAGCGTTGCCACTGTAAGGTGTGGTGCCCGGGAAGACAGCTGCTGAATGCTCTGATACTGCTTTTTCCAGTGGTGCACGTAATGCAAAGAGCAGTGAGAAAATAGGGTGTTGCTGCCCGTCAAATCAAGCAAAGGGAATGATTAAGACATCATCGTTTTCTGTTATTGTTCTAGTGGATGGTAGTAATTGCTTCCACGCAAGAACATGGCTATACCTCCATTGTCATCCATCATCTTGTACAGTACAGTAGAACCGGTAAACTTTTGATTTGACCTCATTAGCATTCCCAGAATTACAATGTCATACCAATGATAAAAACATCATCTTGCCAAGGCTGTGTACAGTACAGTAAACCAGTAAACTTTTGATTTGACCTCATTAGCATTCCCAGAATTACAATGTCATACCAATGATAAAAACTGAGATTACCTGCATCTCAGCAAACGGAGAAGAAACAAATGACACACTACGCAAAAAGCCAATAGCGCAACCACAATGCTACCAAACACTCAAAGGCTGCTTGAACCCACCTGGTTCTTGATTCTGCATGTGGGACAGGACACAATTAAGAATTGTGCCTATATAAATGAAACTTGCGATGTAGGGGATGGACCCCTGGTGATCGGATGATCTGAGCACTCAGGGAGAGGGCAGAGAGGAGAAGCTGTTGGGTAGATGCTCTCTGATAGCACATTCCCTCTGACTTGCCAAAGTGTATCTGTGCTTCATCCAACATCTCCCCAGTAATCAGTGATCCACTAGGAACATGGAGAAAGTTGTGTGCAGCTTGGGGAAATAACAGAGGCATTTGGCCTTTGCACAAATGCCTTGTGCTGCCTGGAGGTTCATAGGATTTCCTTGTCTTTCCCAGGATGAATGCAGATAAGGAGGGTTTCCACTTAAACTTGGGTTGAAGAACAGTGGGACCAATTATTTGGCCCTTCTGGTATTCAAATAAGATCAAGTCAAGTCTGTACTTGTCTGAGGTCATTCTATAGCAAAATCTTGAGTGAAACAGGGAATTTCTCAGTCTCCAGGCAGCAGCTTACCCCCTGAGCTGTGCTCCCCACTATAGCTATAACACAATGCTAACACATATTCCAAACCACTCATTCTCGGTTACTTTAGTCTTTTATGGACCATCTTAGAGGAAATTAACTGAACTTCCCTACAGTGGGAACAAAAGAAGGAAATTAATTTATTATTCCAGTGGTACTCTTGACACAGATACTGAGTAGCTTCATTAAACATTTTGCAGCCCCGAGTGTCTCCACTAAACACTCTACGATAAGCACAGAGTCATTTTCCTTATTACAACACAAACATACAGGTCAGAATTCAGAGCTCATTTACATCTGCTTTGTATTTGAATACCTACACTCATCTCAATGGGATCTGAGCACATCAAGGCTGCATCATCCTAGTCCTTCCCTTTCTAGATTCATTACCGTGCAGTACCGCTCCCAGACAAATTCATTTTCACAGAGTCAGCATAGCCACAGCCAAATGAATAGTACAACCCTTTAACACAAACAACAATAAATCAATGGATTAAATTATAATTTATCAGACAAATACTATTTAGCTCTTCCCAAAGCTGCTCTGAGTGATCACTCTTGTCTGGCCCTATTCCAGAGGAACACTGACACTAAAGCTCAGACCTGTGGAGTAAGTTTACATACAAATGCTGAAAACATCCTGTATATATGAAGGGAGATTTCGCAGAGATCAGAGTGAGTAACATTCCTGAGAGGACTGTAATGTATCTGAATCCTCCTCGGTACCTCTTCCAAAGCCCAGACTAGCACAGACTGAAGCTCTACATTCAGCAGCAAGTCCAGGGAACCAGACACACTAACCTTGAGAGATGCTACAGCAAACTTCGAACGCCTTAGAAAATGGCAACAGGCTATTCCACCACAATTTCACTGTACAACACAGACTTTTTTTACTTACTTCATTGGTTTGAACAACGCTTGTCCATAGTTCTGGAATGTCATGATCAGCTTCAGCTGGGTGCCTCCTGATTTCATCGCTGTGGGAAAAAACCAAAACCGCTTTAAAATGCTACATGTTATCTACTTACATACAGCTTCCTTGAAACAAAATCATCTATCTTTTGCTCTGTATTAGATTCGGCACTGCGGTATCTGAGCACCAAGCAGTGTAATCTTAACTGGACAACAGATTATTCAGCAGGTGCAGAGCACAAAGAAAGGCTTTGAGCTGCTGACCAGGACTAAAAATGGATTGTATTCCCTGACATGTCTTTGTCTTCGTCAATTGGCCACAGGCAGAACCAGTATGGGCTCCAAAAGTGCCCTAACTGAACAGCAAGTATAGGAACAGACCATTGCAGTCCCGTTTTCTCCATCTTCAATTGCTTTTGGACTTCTGTTGACAGTGACACACACTGTAAAAGGTGATGGGGTGCTTTTGAAGACTGTGGCTGGGATCTACAGTCCAACATGCAGCAGACATTTCCTTAATGAAAAGCATGAGAAGATACTACAGTAATAATCTCTGCTGCAATTTTAATATTTTTTGCTGAGCAGTAGAGCTACGTAAATTCATCTCCTCTATGCACAATGGATATGTATCCAAGCCCATCCACTAACTTCCAGGGATTCCAAGGTGGCTCGTACATGACAGCAGAGCTGTGCCGAGCAGGTCGCTGACTCCGCTGGGAGGATAAGAGGGGGCACATGGAGGCAGCAGGGACTGCGGTCCACACTGCATGCCAAGGGCCATCTTTGCTCAAACATTAAATGCACTCACTTCCCAGCTGATAGCTAATGGGAATTCACAGCTGACATTTATTCATACCAGTGCAAACAATTATCATGTTAACAGCCAGATTATAGTGTTTCTAAAGTCAGAGTGAACTTTTTTTCTACATAAGAATTCATAAAAATGCATTTTACTTGATGATAAGGTTACTTTAAAAAGATAAATATATACTTAGGAAAACCAGCTGCTTTTCTACCATCTCAATCAAAACTGCTCTGAATAAATGAAATGACCTACACCCTGACTCCTTAATTCACTTCTGTGTTTGGAGAGGCAGACCATGGCAGTTGTGCCTTTGTTGATGAGTCAGTCCTTTAAAAATGCTTCCTGCAAATGATCAGATAATCAATCCCTTTCTTCACAGATCTGACAAAATCTGTGTCGACTGGAGAACTACACAAATGTCAAGTTACCTGGCTCTGTAAATTTTGGCTTAGAGCTCCCCTTGTTCCACCTATATAGCTTGTACATTTTTTCTGTAAGCAATGCCATTAGCTGCACATCCTATTAATTACTCATCTCTGTGCCTTATTACTGATAGGTCATCAGCTCTCTTTCAGCACCTGTAATCTGTATTTTTGCAACAAAATGCTATGCAAATCTGGTCAGTGTAATTATACTTCCTTTAGAATAAAATCCCTCCTGCCTTGCTGTTTTGCTGACCCCAGCCTTCTACTGCATTTCTAGTTTATCCCAGAGGAACAAATAAATAATTAGAAATTGAAGGGCATTAAATAACTTGTACTAAACTCCCTCTCTTATGCAGAGAAGGTCAGTTGATCTGCACCTGAGGGAATAACGAGCAGGAGACTTTTCAATACCATGGGGTTTGCCCAGTTCTTCAAGGCACAACCTGGTTTTGTACCCCTGTTCATGTGGCCTATCAGGTCAGTAATATCAGCCTTGGTACCAAAAGAGCAGAACTGCCTCCTTTCTGTCAGATACAACTGTCTCCACCTCCACCAACCTCAACTTAGCTGCTTGCAGACTGCTTCCACCAACTGAAGACCGAATGTTTTTTCTCCAAAATTTATGTAATTTATGCTTCTTCATTCAATTCTGAGGAGCTCAGGACTTAGAAATTGGCTCCTCCTGCTCCATGAGACATGTATGTCCAAAATACAGCAAAAAGCCTGTAAGCCCATCAGAGAAAAGGGAATGATAGAGCCTATTTTGAGGTATGGCTAGGAAGCTGAGCATTTGGGAAAATGACATCAATGCAAAAAAAGAAGAGAAATGGAAGTTCCAGCATGCCTTTTTCTAAGCATGAAGTTTCGGATACACGAAGAGGACTTGTTTCCCAGCAAATTGAAGCCACACGACAGATAATGATTTTAGCAGCCGAACTCAACAATGAGTGTGTCATCACCGAGCAGGGAAATGTATAAAGAAGATTAACAATTCAGAATAATTCTTCCATGAGACACAAAGGCCTGGTTTCCTGTCAGAAGGATTTGAGCTGAAGTAAGACAAAAGCATCTCCCTGGTCTTTCTAGATCCGTCTTATTGTATTGCCTTAATTGGTTGCAATAGTAGTCTCAACTAACACAAGTTTTGTTGGCATGTTGACCCCCCATTGCTGCTAGGAGTAAACACTGGGCCTCCCCAAATCAGAGGATGACATTGGTGGGAACAGTGTCACACCATGCCTTACGGCAGAGCGTGCTGGAAGCCATGTGCATTGTGGACAACAACAACCCGTGACAGAGCCCCATGTTGGCTTCTCCCCACATCAGCCGGACTCGGGTGCAGACAGCCCCACTTCGGCTGCTCATTCAGTGCCACAGATGTGCCGCCCAGGCAGTGAGAGTCTAACATCGTAATCCCTGCAGAGAGGGAAACACCGGAGCTTAGACTGTCCTTTTGAACTCAACAAAACCCTTTATGCACTTCTCAAAGAAGCAGACTTGGGAGCAGTTCAGCATGCCCAAATCTGGGGGGGTGGTGATGCCAGAAAAGAACAGATCTCATTGGAGATGATTCCCTCAGACCTCAGGTCAGATTGCTTCCCTCATCCTGCCTTTGTGTTACATCTGCCTACTGGCTTCCCTCTCTTTTTCTGAGCTGTATTCCTTCAGGAGCTACCTTTCCTGCTCAGACCTCATTTAAACATGTCCCTCTGGCCATTATGGCCAAACAGCGGGAGCCCCGTCATCTTCCAGGAGCTTACCCTGAACAAACATTGTTCGTTTATCTGGAGATGCCCTTGTCCCTTCACCTACTGCCCATATGAACATGTCTGAAGAACTGATAATATGCAGAAGTAGCATACACAATTTTCCAAGAAATGTGAGGATGTTACACGACTGGTCTGTCACGTCTACAATCAGCAGGCTTAGCTGTTTTTAAGAAGCCCTTGCAACGTAAGGCTGTACTGATTCCAAGGGAAACTCCAGGCACACTCTGAATTCACCTCTTTTTTTTTGAGGTTTCTGAATATACTGTAATATCACAGGTCATGAACAGCCCTGTAAAAGACGTTATAAACCAGCTAGCTCCCAGCAGGTACCTCAAACCAAGTACAGCTCCTGGACGTACCAGCACAGTGTTAAAAACAAATCCCAATACAATCATTACTTTTTACCTTCAGGCAAATCAAGTCTCTCTTTTGCCCCCAAAGTAGAAGGAAATGGAAAGCAGTATTAACCTTTCCTGTTAACCCCATGCAAGGGCTTTTGTGTGTGAACAGAAATCTTCCTAATTTTAGGAAGCTTTGCAAAAAATTCCCTGTCTTTTTACTTGACCATTTGTGGGATTAGGGTCTTGTCCAAAGACCAGTGAAATTGATGGGATCCCTTCTGTTTTCTCTGATAGTTTTTGGATCAATCCTCAAACAAAACCCCGCTCCATTTGTAACTGTGAGCCTGCTGTCATGGCCAAATGCCATGTCTGCTACTTCCCCACCTTGTCCCCTCACCAACAGCAGATCTGAATTCCCCTCCTGATCCACAGACACCATCCAACATAAAAGATGCACTGCCCATCATCTCTCAATTATCTTTGTGTAACTGTAAACTACAGGGTTTCTCACTCTTTCTCCTAAAGCAGCTGGTACTAACCACTAGTAGAGACCCAATGTTGACCGAAGGAATTCAACAAAAAATTATTTGGAATTTGAACTGATCTGGCTTTCCAGCTCCTCTGTTTTGCTGCAGGATAGCCCTCACTCTGATGGCCTGTCTAGACTGTGTGGTCTTCTGATGGAAAGCGTGAGTCCCCACAGGATCTCTAAACCTGACTTGGTCAGAATCCAACAAACATTTTAAAATGTATCTAATTATGCAACGTTCATGCCTGAGAAGTGAGATCCAATCAAAGCTTGGGATGCAGTAACATATGAAACAGAGGACATTCAGATCCATTTTGGATTCCTATTTATAGATCAATCTTAAATCTAACATAAACACTTTGATTGGCTTTAACAAGTAATGCTGTGCCCCAGGCTAGAGACATGGCCCTGTTCAAGCTGCAAAGAACATATTTCAAAACAAATTCTAGCCTTCTTCATCTCTTAATTTGTTCTTGTTTTTAATTTTCTTTGTTCTAAACCTTTCTTGGTTTAGTCAAGACAGTAAAAAACTTCTGGAGGGGAAGAGATCTGTGAAATCATCCAGAGGCTTTGTTGTACATTTTAAGTCCCTTCCGTTCCTCTGGAATTGTACATTAAATCAATCTGTTGACTCTTGGCAGATTCATTGTTTTCTTATACAGTAAATCAATTGTGCTACATTTCATTATGTTTTTCACACGTTCTCAACAGCACTTTTTCCCTTCCTTTGGATGAGATTTTTATAATTTCCTTTAGCACCAGAATTTAGGTTCAATAATTAGCATCTTGTCTTTTTCTTTTTTTTTGTTCCTGACTTGCAGCAGAGTCCACCTTAGTTAATTGCGGCATTTATTCACTGCGTGAGTAATCTTGCGTGCTTGCTTTCTAATTACTGCCTGTACAAACTGAAGGCATCGCAGGTTCAGAAATGAACTCAGTCAGGTAATGGCTCCAAACCTTTCCAACCAGAGATTTTAAAAGAATCAAAAAATAAAATCCAGCTAAACACAGGAATCGCAAAAGCCTACTCTGCTCACTGGCAATCCCACATCACAGCTCCCCTGGACAGCAACACAAGCAGTATCAAGACCACACTGTCTCTACGATGCACCATGCCGTATTTGTTGTTAAACTGCTGACAGTGCTGCCACAATTACACACAGACATCTTGTAAATATTCAAGAAAATAGCTAACTATGGTTATTTATGCATGCAATAAACAGTTATGAAAGGCAAAGGGAATGTGCAATTGCCTGTGCTGCTTCTGAAAAGTGGGTTTCAGTGCTCAGTGGAAAAACAATTCTCTCTGGGCTCCTATTTATGGCAGGAGGAAATTTTCAGTGAATTATATCAAATTAAGAGCTACCCCTTTATGCTGAATAAAATGAATAGGAAATATATATTGATGCAGGGCACAGAATACATCCTCAGCTTGAAAGCTCTGGGTAACCCTGTCCTTTCCAAGGCCAGCTGTAGGTGTCACTGTGGGAGCTGAATGGGATGCTCTTCCCCATCCATGATTTGTTCCATTTAAACTTTAACATCAAGAAAATGTCACCTTGGTGCTCCCTGCTCTTGAGAATTGCTTCTGTCACCGCTTTCATTTTAAAATAACACTGCACATTACAGAGTCGTGTGATCGGTTCTGATAGATGGCAGGGGATCAATCTGGTCACCACTTTCCCCATAAATAATGCAAGCTGAGCAGAGAAATTACAATGCGGCTAAGAAAGCTGTTTAGCTGCAGTTTGGATCTAATTACTGTAGGTAGCAAGAACCCGCACAGCAAATCCCCTAATTCGATCAGAGCCAAAGCACATCTGAACACAGAGAAGAAACTGGATAAAGTTTCATCTAATGCATGTAAACCTGTAGATTTAATTGTCCTGTTTGCTAGAAGAAGCCTGAAGATGGGGCATTATGAAGGTTTATTTTATACTTCTATATACATTTATTTTATACATCTAACCTGGCAACTTTGCAGCTGCCTTAATAAAAATAAACAAAAAGCAAAACAACAAAAATTGACCATAAGGAAAAAAAACAGGCAAATTAGAAGATATGCAGGAATATGAAAAAGAATGTAACAGCCCTAACAATGTCCTTTGGTCAAATATATTATTCTTTAATATTCAGCTTTTGAATCCCTGGTGCTGCTCTGCAATAAAAGCTGAAAACTGGCAAGTATTATTTTTAAAAACCCAAAGAATTTGCAACATAAAGTAAGAGATGTTGCACTGTGCAATGATTTTTAAAAAGGTATATTAATAGTATGCTCGTTATTGCTTTGCAACCTGACTTATAACTCCTGAATCCCCAGTAGCAGGCAGTGGACGCTACCCGCAAAATTCAGATCCTGGCATCTCTACATGTCCCCTTCCACTTCTACAGGCTTGGGTTTAGACTGGGATTTATGAATAGGAATCATTCCCTGTCAGTTCCCACTGCGACCAATGCCAATACCAAATGTACCTCATGTTTTAGTTTATGGAAATTATCCTGAATCATTGACAGAATCCATGGCGCTCTGTTCTTGTCAGGGCCATAAGAGGCCCTACCACTCTGAAGAGCCTCGCTCAAACATTAACAGAGAGACAGTCCCATAGGAAATTGCTAATAGCAACCATAAATCTTCCTCTGTGGTCCCGTGGCCCTTTCCCCCCGCTGATCTGAAAGCTCTATCAAAATCGTAATTAATGGAAACCTCACGACACATCTATATGACACATTAGGTGAAATCATGGCCCCAGGGAAATAAATGGCAGAACTTACGTCACTGGGGTCAGGATTTCACTCCTACTTTTTATGATAACCATTTTACTGCTAGGTTAACTGAAGCATAGAGAGGTTAAGCAACATGCCCAGAAGCACAAGTGAAGATCAAGCCCAGAAGATCAAGTGAAGAGTGAGTACTAAACTATTATTTCTCACTCCTACCTCCTTTTTTTCTCCCACCAGCTTCTATGTCCCTACATCAACCTTAACCATCCCACCGATGTGCAGAAGTGACAGATTTCATAGCTCAAACACTGCCAAGTTTGCAGCAAGCACTGCTCTCCTCCTGCACAGACAGCATGGCTTGTTGAAGGGGTAAGTAGAGACCGATACACTTAGCAGCCACGCAATACAAACCACTACTACCACCAACGCATTTTGTGTAAAGCTCAGTAGACGAGCCAGGAGATGGTTTGGTTGAGCATCACCTCTGCACAGAGCTAGGGACAGCCTGGTCACTGCCTGGGACACTGCTGCTCTCTGCAGCAGACAGGGAAGGGCACAGCCTGTATCTTTTCCTACTCCATGGATGTGCTCAAAAAGCAATGTTAACACATGTGTTATAAAGCACTGTCTCAATCCCCTTCCCATGTGCCACTAACATTCCAGAAATGGGTTGGGGACAGGTCAGGAAACGAAGGGACAGGTCAGGAAAGGTGAGGGCTATATCAAGGAGAAAATCAACCAGGCCATGTCCGCACAGTGCCCTTGTTACCCTCCAGCACAGACCAGAGGAGTATGGGCAGCCTGCTGCTACCTGCAGTGTCACATCTGAGCTGGAGAAATGAAAATACACAGCTTAATTGTCAAACCTGAGCTCCTTAATGAATCACTCCGATCCAGAGTTTTGTGCACAGAAAACCCATCGCAGGTTAATAAGCGAGCCTGTCTGTCCTCTTTCATGAGCTAGGTGTCCATTGGACCCTTGAATCCAACATGTGGGATGGCACCTGGGTACCGCAAACTGCTTTATTCAAAATCCTCAAAATTCAAAAGCCCCAGCAGAGCTCAGAGAAGAGCTGTGTGCTGAGTACAGTCGCCGGGTAGCTCGATTCATGGTGGCAAAGCTCTCTGTGGCATCCTGGATTTTACATCTACTCCATCCGGATCAGCTAAATCAGCCCACTCGTGATGACCATGGATCTCCCTTATTCCTGCTCAGCAGCCACTGTGATTCACACGATGGAAAATGTAAACCTTAGGGCTGTTCATGCTATTCTTGCCCAGGCCATTTCCTGCTATTTTTGCCTGGCAGGGTTAAAGACCTGCTGACCTCACCCTGCGGTGCCAACACCATCAGCACTTTTACAGGGCTCCTGCTATTTCATCCCTCTGAAACCGACTTGGCAACTTTGTGGTCAGCGCAAGTAACTTCATTTTCTGCGTGGCCAACGGAAACCGCTGGCTGTGCTGCAGCTCTCTACCTCTGAAAACCACGGCGCATGCATTTGTTTAGCATCTCAGGGCTTCCATTTGGGGTCGTGGGCTTTTTTTTTCCCCACACAGCCACGCAGCTAAATTCAAGGAGACACACGCTGTCATTAAACAGCCCTGGAGAAAGGCCCTGAACTGTGTCACCTTGTTTAACCAGAGCCAAAGGTTGACATGGGCATATCCCCATTGTGGATTTACACAGAGAATAAACAGAGCTGAACTCTGCTCAGCTCGAGGATGGCTCGCCTGGAGGTCCCTGCGCCGTGCCCGGGGAAGCTGCAGCTTGGCCGAGCCACAGAGCCCCATGAAGCCGGACGCTCCTGCAGCCATTGCTGCAGGGCTGCAGGTCAGCCTCCTCTCTCCTTCCTCGGGAAGACGAGCACTGCCAGACACAGCCTTTTAAATAATAACCAGCTAATAATACAGATCTAGCTCGTGCAAGATGCTATCTGCTTTTTGCCATCCTTTTTTTTATCATCGTATTTATCTGAAATAACCAAATAGGCCACTTTCAGCCTGATCGTGACCAAAAGATCTCTGAAATGAATGGGGTTTGCCTTGCTGGCAGACTTTGCAATTATTCAGGTAATAGAAAGTTGGTGATATCTCTGTATGTTTAACAGGGAAACAAGCGCAGAAGTCGGGAAGCAATGTTGTAGGCACGCCAGAGAGAAGCCATGCAAAGTATTAATACTCAAACAGCAATTAAGTCCTAAACAATGAGCAAATAATCATAAAATATGATATATATAGCTGAACATACCAACACTGGTTATCTTTTGGGAGACCAGGTCTTGTAGTAATGCCTCAATTGCAGGATTATGTCTGGAATACAACTCGTACCGATTAATGCCAATGTGGAATTTTAACCAGTTTGGGTAGGAGTCTATGGAGGTTTCTCCAGTTGGCAAAAATTCTTCATTATCTTCGTTTTGCCTACCACCAAAAAAAAAAGAACAACAAAACAAAAACCCAAAAATGAGGAGAAAGAAATAATGTTACAGTTTGTAACAGGCATCAAGAAAACAGGGCTTCAAAACGTGACAACTTGGAAGGGCGAAGCACTATAGAGGTGGGAAGTCCCCTGGTTGTCCCTGCTCCAGCTGAATGCCAGGAGCCTGCTCCCTCCTGGGGCAAGGGGGGAGATGGATATTCACCTCCACTCTTCCCGGCTGATTTAAAGCCCATGGAAGTCAGGAGCAAAATTCAAAGTGACATCAGTGTTCACAGAGGCCATTATATATTAGCAGTGTTTCTCGTACAGCAGAAAACACAGAGCTGCAAGTTTTATTACTGTGTTTAGGTTGTATTATGTTGCACACATCTCTTACAAGTTTGACCCAAATGACAGCATCGTGCTGAACTTTCATTTAACAGGGACCTGGGCCTGGAAACCGAGAGTGCAGCAGGAACTTGACCTCTTGTACCAAATGCTCCCACTCTCTCTTCTTCTCTTTTTTGAATACAGAGTATGAGAAGAAACTGGATCATTCTGAACTGGCTGCCAAAGAATAACTCTGGATGGTTTTGCCCCTTCCCTAGCAGTAGGATACTATTACAGAGAAGGATTGCTAAAATGACTTTTAACTCCTAAATTTCATGTCAGTTGCGTGAACTTTGGTTGCACCACTAATGAAAATATGTACAACAGGCAGCTGCATTGTGGCCATCAATGATAAATTTCACTCTTCACCTACTGAATACACTATCACGTATCTTCTTCAATCCAGAAGCCCTCTCTGTGTTTTTAGGCATCTCCAGATGTTGATACATTTGTGACCTTCTTTTTCCTTTTTTTTTTTTTTTTCTCTCAGAGAAACCAGAACTTCTTCAGGTTATTTCACTCCACAGTCAGTTTGGATTATTAGATGGAAGGGGCCTGGACAATTCAAATGCTCGTGGGGTGGAAATCAGAAATATTTATCCTCTTTTCCTAAAGCTTTAGATCATGCTGGCTGCTCTGCGGCTTGACAGAGCTTTTGCACAGCACAATGCAGCTGTTTAAACATTACCATGTCAGTGTGTTTGGAAGAGGGTGCTGTTGTATTAGACAAGCCTTTTGATTTTTCAGTCATTGAAATCTCTCAGCATTTCTTAGAAGCCAACAGGGCATACGCTTCACAGAGGCAACTAACTGCTTTGAAGGCTGGAGAGCAACAGAGCTGCTAGGGTACCGGGAATTAATTGAGGATGAAAAATGTAGCAGAGATCAGCTCCTGAAGGCAGAAATACCTGCTAGGATGAATGCCTCTGTGGCATTAGACCTTGCTTTTGAGAAAAGTTAATGTATTCCTGCCTGGTCTCAGTGCTTAGTCCCTACACCCCTGAGCGGGAGCCGAGGAAGGCACCGGAGAGGGAGGCTCCCTGCGCTCGCCCTCCTTCCTACACGGCTGTTCTGGCAGCATCTGCCTCTGGCAACAGCTGGAGATGGGATGTGGGGCACGTCGACCCTTTGGCCTCAGCACTCCAGCCCTGTGCTCCTGCGTTTATTCTGTATTTCATGGCGTTTTACTTCTAATGTGACGGAACACGGCCAGTCAGGCCTGTGTACAATTTCGCTTTTTCCTGGCGATACCGACTCGCCCGTTTAACCCCTGCCCACTCGGAACCTGCCACAGCAT